TAACAGGAAGTCATTTTAAATGGCGGTGACATGATTATATTCCTGTTTTAAAAATTCCACTCTGGGGGCGCCTGGGTGGCTCAGTCATTAAGCGTCTGCCTTCGGCTCGGGTCGTGATCCCAGGGTCCTGGGATCGAGCCCCACATCGGGCTCCCTGCCCCGCGGGAAGCCTGCTTCTCCCTCTCCCACTCCCCCTGCTTGTGTTCCCTCTCTCGCTGTGTCTCTCTCTGTCAAATAAATAAATAAAATCTTAAAAAAAAATAATTCCACTCTGGCTGTGATCATTCATGCAAGAGGTGCAGGGCGGGATACTACAGCCTCTATCATGGGATTTCCTGGGATTCGCTGAGAAAATATCAGGGTCCTGGCAGAGTTCCTGGCTCCGCATCTGTGCTCCTAAATGACCACTATTAATTATAATATATATGGAGCCCTCTGAATATCTCCTTCATTCTATTTAATACATTGCATGAAATGATCAGTTTTGGGGCCTGTCTCCCGGACAAGACCGAGCTCCTTGACAGCAGTGACTATGTTATATACATCATTGTATTCTCGGGACCTTCTACAGGGCCTGACTCGTGACAAGCACTCTATCATACTTGCTGAGTTAAGAGCTGAATGCACAAATGATTTTTTCTTGATGGAAGGAACCCAAATAGTTTCTGTTCTTCCACCGTGGGTGTTAAGAGATGGAAATTCAGGTTTGCAAAGATGAGTGGGTTAATAAGGATGGTTGATTCTCCTTACTGGGCATGGTAGATGTGGCAGGATGCCAAAATGGCCGTAGATTCTAAACCCATCAAGCTCCTTCCATCGAGAGGTGAAGCCTGTTTCCTTGCCCCTTAAATCTGAGCTGCCTGTGTGAATTGCATCAGCCAGTAATGTGGTGGAACTGATGTTATGTGAGCTCCCAGGCTAAGCCTGAAGAGACCTCACAGCTACCAACCTCATGCCTGGAACCCTTCCACCGCCATGTCTTCAAGTCCAGGCCAGCCTGCTGCATAGAGGATGAGCAGCATGTGGAGGGAGGGGTCCCAGCCATCCTACCTCCTCTAACCAAGAACAACAAAGCACTGCCTAGATCAGGGCTGCCCAGTTGAGCCCAGCCCACAATCCCAATCCAAAGGCTCCTGAGAAATAATAAATCTGTACTCTTTTTAACCATTAAGTTTGGTTGTTTTGCAGCAAGAGCTAACACAGCAGATCTAGGGTAGAAATTCAGTGCAAGTCAGCAGGGGAAGGAAGACCAGTTAAAAAGAGGAGACTGTACAAAAGGCAGTGAACTCCAAAGCATGAATTAAGAGCCAGACTCCTCTTTTACTCCTAAATGCAAATGGCACACCATCCTACCCCGTTTTAGAATGGAGAGGGTCACCATATTCTGCTGCCTCGCTGAAATGGCCGAATCCTCCGTCAGCACTGGTGATGGGGTCAGTTTGCCAAGAACCTGTCTCTCTACAGCAAAGTGCCCTGCCAGCCCTCCCCTACCTACCTGCCCTTCTCTAAAAGCCTGATCTTTATCCATCCTAAGATGTCACTGACAGCACCTGCCTTTATTCTCCATCACGATGACTGGAACTCCCCTGCCCAGCTGGGTTGGAAGAAATAGAAGCCATCATTTTCCCCAAGTTCCCCAAATCAGTCTCGGAAAAGCATGCAGGCAGAAGTCTCAGGGCCCCGTCTCTCTGGGCCATTTAAAAGTTGTCACCAAAATGGCTCACCTCCAGGGATCTCATGTGCCTCTGACACCACACATCCGGGAAAACAGGCTGCCAACGCCGGGGAGCAGCAATCCCAGCCAAAGGGTGACTTAACAGCCTCCAAGAGCGAGCCCCAAATGCCACAACCTCCACTGTGATGCCGTGGATTCACAAGGGCCCTGCAACCTCTCCAGGATCACTTTGATCCAGTTTTTTGTCATCCTTGTCATCTCTACAAGGTCCCTGCCCCACCCTCCATGGCTCTCGGGTACTGAAGGGAAACGTCAACACCACAACAAGTGTCCCAGTATAGTGGCTCCCACGTTCCCCAACCTCACACCAACACTGGGCATGCCTTCCCCAAATCCTGCCTCCTCGATTCCCGTGTGTAGCAGAGCCCCCCACTCTCCTATCGGCTATCCAGATGCCACCCGCTGTAGCTGCTACAGGTGCCCCCAGCTTCCCGTGACTCTCTGCATGAAAGGCATCCCCCAGATGTGGAAGCTTTAGCCCAAAACAGGCCAGAAGTGGCAGGGAACTTAATCCATCAGGAAAATCACTCCACCAATGGAAGGACGGGCGTTGGCGGTAAAACCCCAGCTCTCTTGTCCAGGAGTGGGAGGATTCTGAGGTGTATCCTACCCGGCATCTCGGAGCACCCCCACCCCGCCTCAATTGCCCGCAGCAGTCCTCAGGCACAAATGCCTGCTTGCTCGGCTTTTCTCCCTTCCCAGACTCCCTTCCCCACTCTCACCACATTTCTTGGGAGATAGGTCCCTGTCTCAGCCTCTGCTTTGGAGAACCCCATGTCCCCAGAACTTTCCCAGACAGGATTAGCTTCCTCCTCTCCTGGCCAGAAACCTCCAGCGCCACCTGCTGGAGCTTCCCTCCACTCCACAGCCCAGCTACAGGGCTGGAGCCCCGATACTCACACAGGCCCCGAGAGTCTTGCTGATGCACTGGAACTAGTTCTAATGTCTCCCTTGGAAGAAAGGAAACCACAGTTGAGTCTATAACCCCTCTCTGAGCTTGTTGGTCCCTGGATTATATCACCCCACCCAAATCACCAGGGTCCACCCATTCAGGGAGCCCGGGACCCAGAGCCATTCAGTGCCCTGGTCCCCTGGACTCTGCCTCAGTCATTAAGGGGTCCATTCCAGGTATGGAGGGACCCCATCAAGACCCATCAAGAGGGTCTGGAAGGACTGGGGAAGGCCCCCGGAAGCAGCGGCCTCCTGCTCCTACTAACTGGATATGAGGAACTCGTAGACTATTTCCCAAGAAAGTAGACTCTGAGAAGGAGATGCGTGTGCAGGAAGTTTCCTGGGGACTGTTCTCAGTATCAACACCTGTTGGGGAAGGGGGCGTAAATCACACGGGACTGGGTGAAAGGAATGTGAGACAGTTGAAGCGAAGGCGTTGTCTGGTGCCACACAGAGATCTGGGACGGCCCTGCTGAGCTGTCCTGAGTTGAAGCAAGGGGCTGGACCTTTGTAATCCACAATGACCAGTCACTGGATGAGAGCTGCCCCAGAGAGGGGCATGAATGTGAGTCCGGAGATTCAGTTCCTCTGAGGGCAAGTCTGGGAGAGCAGGTGCTTCAGTCCAGGAGCAGGGCTGATAAGGCAACATGGCACCCATCACACCCAGTGTTACAATACTCAGAGGCAGGCATGGTCAGAAACTTCTCTGCCACCCGGAGCAGATGAGGACGACGGAGTGACTGCCCCATGCTAACTTGAGAGGAGCTGGAGCTAAGCCCTAAGGAAAGAATGCAAGTCCCTTGACAGCCACGCCTGGGGCTTCACGCCTGGAAGGACCAACCATGGCTCCTAAAGCCACCTCCAGACCCACCCTCAACTCTCAACCAACCTGCAGGGGAGTGGTTTGCGTGAGAAGCCCCAGGTCCGGCAGTACTGGGTACTAGTTTCAAACACAGCCTTTCTCTTCCCACGAAGCAGGAATGGGGGGGGTCAATGAAGCCTCTGGCTGAGTACCTCGCTTGCAGAAAGGAGCCGGCTGGGAATCACTCATCCGAAGGCAATGAGGAGCCAGCCTTGCCGGGTCAGAGCCGAGTAGAGGCTGGGGACTAAAGCGACGGTGCCACTCTGCCCTGGGGTTTATAGCAGGCAGCTGGCATTTTTGGTAAACCAGGTGACAATGAGCAAGTGAAGTCACTTCTCTGCGCCTCAGTCTCCCCATCTATTAAGTGGGGCTGTTGTTTTAAGGTGGAAATGGGGTGCTTTCAGGAATTCCCTCCACAAGCTATGAGGTGCTACCCAAGTGTCAGAGTAGAAAGCAGCTTCTATGTTGCTACTTCTCAAGCATGTCCAGATGGTAACATTTTAGCAACAAAAGACAAAATCGTGTGGGAATCCCTGAGAGAAAAGAGGAAAGTTTCATGGCTCTTTGGGAGAACGTAGATCAATTCAAAATCAAGCTGGCAAATACCCTATAAGCTGACGTTTTTCTAGGTCTAAGAGAAAGTCTCCCATACGTGCACAAGGAGATGTATATACAATGGTGAACACAGTGTCTTTGTAACATTATAGAATTAGCAAGAATAACCTTGATGTCCCTAAGGAGGGGGAACTAAGGAAGCTAAGAGGCTAGATTCAAGAAACATTAAGGATAATAAAGCCAACAGGGTTCGTCTGGATTTGAGGTGGGGGGCAGAGGTATCAAAGAGGGTGCCTGTGTTTTGAATTTGCTCAGCAGACCCATTCTGTGCAAGAGGGAGCAATAAAGAAGGGCCAGGTGTGGGGTGATGATCACATATTCTGGTCTGGAGGAATGTATGCCCACATGTGGATGCGTCACGTGGCCAGTTGGACAGACGGTCTGAGCCACGAGGAGAAGCCTGGGCTGGAGACATACTGGGAGGAGGGAGGTAGAGGATCATCTGCAAATCAATAGCGGGTACAGGCGAAGGGAGACTATGGGGGTAAGGAAGAGGGTCTAGGACTGGTCTTGAAGGAACTACAACTATGTTTTTTAACAGCTTTATTGAGGTATAAGTGACACACAATGTACAGCACATACTGAAAGTGTACAATTTGATAAATTTTGACATGTATACACCCATAGATCCATTATTACATTCAAGATAATGAGCATATCCCTCACCTCCAAAGTTACCTGGTGTTCCTTTGTAACCCCTCCCTCCCTCCTGTCCCCAGGCAACCCCTGATCTGCTCCCTTGCTAGGATTAGTTCTCATCTTCTAGAATTGTATGTAGATGGGACCACACGGAATGTAATCTGCTTTGGTCTGACTTCTTTCCTTCACTCTAATTACTTTCCTTTTTTTTTTTTTTTTTTTTTTTTTGTCCATGTTGTTGCTTGTATCAAGAGTTTATTCCTTGTTATTGCTGAATTGTAGTCATTGTATGGATGCACCACAATTTGATTATACGTCGCCAATGTATGGACACTCAGACTGCTTGCACTTTTGAGCTACTACAAACATAGCACCTATGAATATCTGTGTACAAGTCTTGGTGTGGACAAACACTGTAACTTTTCTTGTAAATACCTAGCTTTTAAAGGAACTGCCAAATTTTTCTCCAAAGAGGGGAGACTATTGAACATCCCCACCAGCAGTATACAAGAGTTCCAGTTGCTCCAACTCCTCACCAACACTTGGTATGGTCAGTCTTCTCATTGTAGCCATTCTAATAGGTATATAGTATGATTTCATTGTGGCCTTACTTTGCATTTCCCTGGTGACTAATGAGGAAACAACCTTTAGCAACGGGAAGAAGAGTGAACCTAGCTCTACAGGAAACCCAAAGGAGAAGACAGAGATGCAGGAAGAAGACCAGAAAAACGTGGCGTCGCGGAAGCCAACAGGAGAAATGGCTCAGAGAGAGTGGTCAAGAGAATCAGATGATGCTAGTGTGACCCGAAAATTCTCACTTGGATGTAGTGCCTTTGGTGCCATTCCAGTAGCAATGGGTCCAGCTTCCAGCCTCTCTCCACGTTTGCAGAACAAGAGTCCGTGGTACTGCCTACTGGGTGGCACCCTCTCCTCAGGTGTGTGGGCCCCAGCTCCCTCCTCGGAGCCCCTGTGTTGAAAGCACCAGCTGCGAACACTTTGCAGCAGCCCCACGTTTCCAGAGGGGGTCCCAGGCTCTGTCTCCTGGGAGGCCAACTGCGACATGATTAGCATGCGGAAGTTTTCTTAGGGAGTGGTCTCAGGCTGGTCACCTCTGAGAACGGAAAAAAGCAAGACTGGGCGAGGCCGACGCTGGGATGCTGAGGCTGGGATGGCCCTTCAGCGTTGTCCCCATTGGGGGCAAGGGGGTCGAGCCTTCCTTCCCTGCGGGGACCAGTCACTGGACGAAGCCTGCCCCATGAGGGAGGTGTGACCCTGGGTGAGGCGACTCTTCCAGATGAAAGTGATGCCCGTAGATAGTTACTGCTGAGGACTGCCAACCCAGCAACCTCTTCCTTTCCTCTTCAAGAAGGATTGGGGCGGCACAGTCAGCCTCCACTACAAGGGGTTTCTCCTCCAAGTTTCCAGGTTCTTATCACCCAGCCTCTTCCTTTGGCTCCCCACCTCAGTTTGGAAGCCATTTTCTGCCGTTATGTTGCTAGATCACTTCAGAGCCCCAGGTGCACTTTTGCAGTGTTCCAGCTCCCACTTAAGGGATTCCTTACACTAAACACTCTCTCGCTGTTGCCGGTTTCCTGATGTCCTCCTCCGCCCAGAGGACTCCAACACCATTAGGGAGAAGGGGGCGGGGTGAGAAGCCCACGCTGGTGGACTGGTTCTGTGTCCCACTGGCTGGGTTACATATATATAACCCAGAAAGGTCAATTTGGAAAATATCAGGATCATGTTTTGCTTTCGGCTCATGCATATCACCGAGTCGTCTGAAAAGACCAACATTTCCATACAGAAATCTGGAATGTATCAGAGAACATGCATCCTGAGCCCTCCGTGTGTCTGCCCTGCAGGTAGGAACGTGCCTGAACTCTCTGAGCAACTTGGAGCCTGAGTGTAATCCATTTACGGCACTGCTGACATATTAATGCACTAAACGGCTCCCTGGTGATCTGAAAACGTTAACACAGTCACAGCCTGAGTGCCTAACTTCATGTGGACGTGACTCAGGCTCAGGGATAATCAGCTGAAAAACGGTATAAAGGGGTGCTGTAGGAGCAAGAATAAATCAATGACTTCTCCTTTCCATTTTTCTACCAGTACCAGAACGGATTTTCAGTAAATGCTGGACAGCAAGACCAGCACATCCCAAATAAACAGGTCCTGCCAGTTAATCAAGTGTCCATCACAACATTTAGATGTAGTCATACTGGCTTCAGGAAGCCTGTCTAAACTCTACTTCCCTGGCTCCCCTCACCAGCATTAAGAAGTCATCAGAATACAACCCACTTCTGTCAGTCAGAGTACATTTTATTAATACAGAAAGACCATGATTCACCTTGTTCACCCTCATAGGGGGAGTTTAGATCCTGGTAAGCACCACTCATGTCGTTTACCATGAACTTGATTTACGAGGAGGAAGCAAAACACAGCATTATTACCAAAAAGTCCTCGCTGATAGTCTTAAACCCCCCCAAAATAAATGTATTAAAGTCTTCAAATATACAAATCTAAAAATATGTTACAACATTTAACGGTTAAGACTCAAGTTCATTTTTTAAAATACGCTTTAAAATATACTAAGCATCTCTCTCCTTCCCCTGATTCTCCAATGATGGGCAGAAGTCCTCCTCACTGAAGTCCTCCTCACTGTCGGCCTCCTGGATTTCTGTCTCGTTCTCTGTCCCTGGGGGAGAAGCGGGCTGCATAGTACTCGAGGCGGCCACTACGAGGCTTGCTCAGCAGACTGCTTGTGCTGCCTCCGGATGTGGCCCTCACTGCCGGGGGGGCACCTCCTTCTGGTGGTTCGCTGTGCTAGTCTTTCCCGCGGTTTCAATCCAGGGGTGCTGAAGGACCTGGTGGGCGGTGTAGCGCTTTTTGGGGTCTACCACCAGCAACCGGCTCACCAGATCTTTGGCAGCTGTGGGAGGGCGAGAAGGAAGAGAAAATGAAATGAATGCATGGGCTCTGAATTTGTCTGCCCCGCGCACGAACTGAGATCACAAACGCCCATGTCAGCACCACACGCTAGAGGGCGCTGCCCCACAGAACTTTCTGTGATGCTGGGAGCCTTCCATGTCTGCACTACCCACTGAGCGTCTGAAATATGGCTACCGAGACTGAGCAACGGAATTTTTACGTGTTGACTTTCAACGAGTGCACATTTCAACTGCAATAGCCACGCGCGGCGAGGGGCTACCATGTCGGGACAGCAGAGCTTTAGAGGATGTCCGTTCGTTTCTAGAGTCAGGGGGCCAGGCCCACCCCTGACAGCCATGGCGCCCCGTGCAAGAGAACAAATGGAGGCCACATACCATATGTCTACATATCTTACATTTTGAAATCAATCGTCGGGCTGTTAAATAAAATCTGTTCAATCTCCTTCCTAAGTTGGTAAATACGCCTTCACACTGACAAAGTTGAGACACACGTGAAGGAAACCTAAGTACAAAACAGCACCAAGTCAAAATGAATTTCATTTCCTGCCCAAGATCATGACTGATTCTAGAGGGATGGGGGGGCAACTGGTGGGCCAGGTGGCTTGAGGCAAGGGGGGAGAAATGACTTCTCTGTGGCTTGTTGGCTCTCCCTGGCCAGCTCCCTGAGCTTCCTTTTCGATCACATGAGAAAAACACCACCCACTTCTCCCCACCTTCCTTGGGTGATGACTCTTGCTTAAGATCAGCTGCTCACCCACCCATCAGCCCCTCCTCTACACCACTTTCCGGCCACCTCTTAAGCATGGAAGCCACAGGACTTCTCCTACCTCGCCCACTTCAAGTTGGGTGAGTTCTGCCAACGAAGTGCCTGGGCACCCACCCCAAACAGCATCACTCCCTCAAGATCCCCAGAGGACTCAGCAGGGAGTGGGTCAGGTTTAAACTGGGAATTCTCAGACTCACATGTACAAGTGTGGTCAACTGAACACCCCACCAACATGTCCAAGCTCTCTCTACCCCTCTGAACAGAGGCTCCTTGGCTACCCTGGGGCAATATAGGAAGTTTCTGGGTAAAGAGGTCTCCCCAGTCTTGGAAGTAGGTCTGCACCATTTGGGCAGGGAATTCTGGGGTTCTGATTAAGTCACCTAGAAGGGGGGACCTGGTTCTGGAGGACACATCTCCTTGGCTCCAGAGTCCCCTTGCTCTGTGGGGTGGGCATAACCAGAGTAGGGCCCTCTCTAAGGCATGGGGCTCAGGGCAGGGGCCACCATACCCAAATCTAAGGACAGTGCTGCACAGAACTTTCTAAAATGATTTTCAGTCCTTCAATTCCCAAGTCACCACTGGCTTGCTCAGCTCAAGACCCTCACTCCACCTACAGCACGCCACCCCTCTCTCTACCTTATTTAAGGGGCAAAAAAAAATGAAGCTTTCTCCTTGCCTCATCCCCCAACCCCAAGTAAGGAGACTGAGGCTGGGGATGAGGGCAGTTCGATAACTCATCTTAGATGACATGGTTGGGGGAATGGAGGGAAAATAAAGTTGTCACTCCTATTCTACTTTTTAAGCTAGAGACTCAAAGACTCAAAACCCCTGAATATCCAGTTCCCAATTTTATAAGGGTAGCAGGTGGTACCGACAAATCAGGAGCAAAAAGGGGAAAGATGGGTTTTGAAAGGGGCCAAAAAAGAGGAAGACTCTACATGCCTCTGCTCCACTGGAGATAGCTAAGACCGTCACCCCGTGCCCTCCAGAGCCTCTGTGCTCAACTACACCCCTCCATGACCCCTGGCTGTTCACGAGGAAGATACGCATTCCCGGGCTGCTCAATTCCCAGTACTTCTATATACGAGATGACTGTGATCTTTCCAAATGAGGGCTTACATTTCTGATATTCTTCAGTCCTGAGGTCCCTCCACCGCCTTAAGTATCTAGTGACTGCAACCAGTGGTCAGACTTTTTCATTGAATCCAAAGCAAGTCCTGTTTCCCAGAGTGCTATACAAATAAATCTCCACGAAGCTCACAGTTAACAAAGGATGAAGCACAGGTCGACAGCCCCTCTCCGTGCCCAGTTCTGAGGTGGGCCCCCTGCGCGCCTCATTACGCAGCTGACCTAAAACCTGCTCTGCCGTCAGAACCCAGGACGGGCCCCAGCTCTAACATGGCCTCGTGTCCCACTCGGGGGAGCCAATCTCACCGTCAGAAATATTGTCCCAGTAAGGGGCCAGGAACTCGAAGTGGCCCAGCTGGATGATGTTAAAGAGCTCGTCCTGGTCCCTCTCCGGGCTGCGGAAAGGGGGGAAGCCACACAGGAGGATATACAGGATCACGCCTGCGGCCCACATATCCACTTCCAGCCCGTAACCTGTGCGACAGGCAGAGACAGAAGCCAAACTGAGACCAGGCTGGATCAGACAGGAGGAGACAAACATGGGGAACTGTGGTTCTGGGTGACCGAGGTCCGCAGCTTTCAGTAAGCACCAGCCACTTCTAAACACATGGGGGGGTGCTTTGCTGCCAAGGCCTACAAACAGGGGGGTCGACACCAGTGTTACCCAAAGCGTGGTCCTCAGACGACTGCCCGTTTGTTACCCTTTCTTAACCGGTCCGGGATAAAATAAGCATAGAAACTGAAAGTAAACATTTGGAAACGCATAGCAATTGGGCATGGCCATGACATCCAGCTGCATGGTCAAGGACACGTCTCACTGATCGGAGTATAGGGCAGAGTTCGGGGGTTGTCGAGCACACGTGGTAAGTCACGCGTGGCATGAGCGGTGACCTCATCCCATGTAGCAGAGCTTCGTGTGGGTCCACACTATATTAGAAATTCTAAAACCCTCACCAGAGACAGTTCAAGAAGCCCTGGTCTACCCCAGCAGCCTCTCCATCCTAGTCCTTCGTTGTCTTTTCACACTGAAAAAATATTTTTACTGGCTCTGTCTTATGATTATAAAAAGACTGACATTACTATAGCTGTATCCCCCATGAGCACGCACACCCACACACCCACACATATTTATACTTCCTGTAACGAGATTAGGATCACATTGGACATATTTTATACCCTATTTCATTCACTTAATATATCATGGCATTTCCTATGGAGGAATGTCCTATAAAGAATATAAAAAAAAATTCTCCAAAAATATGATTTCTAATAGCTGTCAGTATTCCCTTTATATAATAAATCCTCTATGTTGTAATTTAAGTATTTCCTAACTTTCTTACACTATAATTCTGTGATGAACATCCTCATCTATTAAATATTTGTGCACATCTCAGACTATATTCTTGCAATAACTTTCCGGAAATTAAATGCACAATACAGTAAAGGTTTTTGATATGTATTGCCCAATCATCTTCACAAAACCCTATAACAGCAGTATGGACATTTTCAAACATGTTCTAACTTTTTACCTTTGGAAAAGGAAAACATTCAGCAGCTATAATTGGGAAGTTGGATATTCATTATTAAGCCCCAGAGCAATGATGTCAAGACAAATCAGCAAAATATATATATATTTTGGATATATATATAAGTTGGATATTCATTATTAAGCCCCAGAGCAATGATGTCAAGACAAATCAGCAAAATATATATATATATTACAGAAATAAATCATTGCTGACCTCTTTCTGGCCAACTTTACTGGCCTTTTCTCAGCTCTGTACTACCTTTCACACTCAGGAGGGTCTGGCTTAGCTTGGCCTCCCATCTTGAAATGTGCCCCTCGACCTCTGTGACCCCATACTCTCCTCGTCTTCTTCCTGCTTCCACTGCCTTGTCCCCTGCTAACCCGTCCTTCCTTCTCCATCCCCCAACTCTGGGCCTCCCTCCAGAGTCTGTCCCCGGCTGCCCTTGCTGGCATCATGAGGAGCTCCTTATCTCGCCCGCACGGGCTGCCATTTCCGAGTTGAGGAGTCTCAAAAGCCCCCGCTCAGCCCAGGGCCTGACCTCCCTGCCAAGTGGACAACTCCATGCATCCATCCTCATACCTCTACCAAATCCCTGTGTTTAAAATTTCAACCCATCCGCCCCATCTCCCAAAAGAGCTTTCCAACAGCCTTAGTTGGTGTCAGCACCAAGGCTGTGGTTTCCCTCAGCATTCAGGGAGACTATTTGCTTTCCTTCTTTTACCCAGGTCATTGATGCCTCCACAAAAATGTCTATGTTGTCACCACAGTGCCTTAGCCACTCTGCCGGCCACACTGAGTCCAAATTCCTCTGCTCAGCCTCCCCCGTTGTGGAGAATCCAGACTCAACCTGGTCAGCCAACTAAATTGCCCTCTGCAACACCGAGACCAGTCTTCTCGATGGCTCTACCACCCAACCCCAGTGCATATTCCTGTCTCCCCGTCTTACCTTCCCTGATGCTTCTGCGGCTGGGGAACTCTCTCCCTTCTCCCCACCAACCCCACAACCCACCCAGAGCTTTCCCGTCTTACATATGACGCCTAGACCGATTTCTCCCGAAGTGCTACAGTGGCGGCTAAACAGACATTCATATATCTGGAGCCATATAATAATAATAACGGTTTCCTTTTTATGTACTTCATAGAGTGTGTCACTAAAACAGTCCACTGGATCCTCGTATAATATACAAACTGGTCATAAATACTACTCATGGGGTTGGAAATGGGACACCTTGCTCCTTAAAATGCAAAGTTGGAGGAGGAATTTTTAAGCCGATTACCATAAGAACTGCTTCAAATTCTTCCCATTACAGGTAGCCTTGGGTCAGTGGCACAAATGGCCTTCCTTGTTTGAGTTCCCAGGCTAATTCTCCGTCATCTTTTATCTCGCTCTCCTGCCCCCCCCCCCCACACACACACCCCAATCCCTCCACTGTAAGGGCAGCCCAGCGGAGGAAAAAGTCCACATGCTTTGGTCAAGCTCTGTTTCAAATATCTCCATTAAAATCCAAGTGCAAGCCTGGTGCCAACTCTGAGATTTTTGATTGCTCCATATTGAAAAATATTAAATGTTAAAAATAAGACAGTTGTTAGTGAACCAGAGTCCCGTGGAGCAAGGTGTAACACGTACCTTTCTCAGAAAGAATTTCAGGAGCTACATAGGTCGGAGTCCCACACACAGTAAATATAGGTCTCACCACATGCTTTGCGAGGCCAAAATCAGCCAATTTCAAGGTGGTAGATTTGTCCTCATTTCGCTGAACCTGTAAGAAAACAAAATCTCCAAATCACCAAAATTGTGATGAGAACAAAGAAGAAAAACTAATGAGACAACAAGCATGCAAGGTCAGGATAAGCAAATGATAAACCCACTTGAGCTTATAGTTGATAAACCCAACCTGATTTCAGTGGTGGATACTCACATTTTCAAGTAAAACACCAATGAGTTAGATTCGCTCTGTTGTCCACTACGGTAGTACCATATTGCCACAGATGGCTATTAAAATTTGTATCAAATTGAAAATTTAGTTTCTCAGATGCACTAGCCATATTTCAAGTGCTCAAGAGCCATTGAGGGTTAATGGCTACCATATTGAACAGTGCAAATATAGAACCTTTCCATCACCACAGAAACTTCTATTGGGCACCACTGAGTTAGAACAAGGATCAATGATATTTTGAGCACTGACTAGCATTAGTGAGGACTAGAAAATGTCTCTGGGGAATGTGAAATCTGGGCAGAAAAAAAAAGAAAGGGAAAGAACTAGAAATTAGAAGGAAGAAGTAAGCAAGCAGTGGAGAAACGCTAGGTACAGACCCCAATTTGAGGACTGGGGAAGGTCTTAAGGACCAAACAGACCAGGAGTCTTTAGTTCCAAATCCAAGACTTGCCTCTGGATGGTCTTGGACCAATTTCTTTATTCATCTAAGCCTCTGTTTTCTCCTTTAAAAGGGGAGGGAGGTAATCAATTCCCGCAATTAGGCTTGTGTCAGGAGTTCCAATCGATGTCCATAATCTACCCTGTGAAGTCCTCCTCTAAAGTAACCAACTGTCCCAGGCCGCCAGGAACTGAAGGGTTCCCAGGATGTGAGATTTTCATTTTTAAAACTAGGACAATCTCTGGGGCGCCTGGGTGGCTCAGTCCATTAAGCGTCCGACTCCTGATTTCAGCTCAGGTCCTGATCTCAGGTCGTGAGATCGAGCCCTGTGTTGAGCTCTGAGCTTATCAGGGAGTCTGCTTGACATTCTCTCTCTCCCCCTGCCCCTCCCCTGCTCTCAAATAAATTAATTAAAAAAAAAAAAAACTAGGACAGTCACAGGCAAAGCAGGATGAGGTGGTTGTCCTTGTTTCCACATAATACAGAATTAATGCTACTAAATAAGGATTTATTCATATATATATATGATTCATATATATATGATATTATTCATATACATATATATGAACAGACCAACTGGGTTCTGTTAACATTTTTGCATGAAAGTGAAAGTAGTTCTGATTCTTTAGACCCCACTTCCACCAGGTTTTGGAGAAGGGGAAAATCAGTCATTTTTAGAGCACAGAAAAGACATGACCCTCACTCTGAAATGAAGACGGAGAATCCCTGCTCTCCTTTGTCTTCGTCAAAATGGATCCCACCTGCGTCTCATTCTTCCAAACAAATTCCTGTGGCCAGCTTTCTGATCACTGGTAAACCAATTCCCACTGCCCAGCTAATGTGTCCTGTCCTCCTTCTCCCTCAAGGTATCTGCATGCTAGATGATGTGTTAGGAAGAGGTGGGTCTTCACCTAAAAGAAATGAATCTCAAGAGGTGAGCCTAGCAGGTATTTAGACCACCACGCAAGACACGACATAAGTAAAGATATGTTCTATTTCACGTAAAAACAAACAGTGAGGGGGCAAACCTAGCATATTTTGCAGTAAGTGAAAGATGCATTGGTTCCCTCCTTGCTACGCAGGTGCTTTTCCACTCTGGGGAAAGATTAAATCACTGGGCACATGAGAACTCCAACCTTCTTCAACGCTAGTTGGTACCCAAACAAGTAAGGCATCATAGAATCTGAATGCTCATGGCAAAGGGGAGCTGAGCTGTTAATGACTGAGCTATGATAAAACAGGGACCCACAGGAGGTCTGGCCTCCAAACATCAGAGAGTGTTAAGACTCAGAGCAACAGCCTTCCCCCTGACCAAGTCTCAGGACACCAAGAAATAAAGGCAGAAGCCAAAGGGTTCCCACAGCCCCTCATTCCCGGGAGGCAGGAAGCGAGGTATCACAGCCCGGTGGTACCTGCCTACTTCCAGCTCTAGCCCCGCGCGGGCCCCACTCTGCAGCAATCCAGGTAGCCGCCCCTGGCAGCTGGTCTGTGCACACCAGGAAGATGCTGGTTCCCTACCGGGAAGGCGTTCCGAGCCCCTTTAGCAGCCTTGTTACCCATCCTTCTGACCTCGTGTTCACAGAAAGCAGCCCACGCAATCTCTAGCAGGGAGCTTTGAATGGTAGATTCTGCAAGTGTGGCATCTTTTCCTCCCTCCTGTCGTCTGCCTCTTGGGAAAGGTGCACCTGTCGTCACATCCTCCCTGGCACCTTTCCTCCCAACAGAAAGGACAAAGCTGGGGGCTGTCAAGGTCTCGGGCCCAGAGGGGAATTTATCCATAGAGGGCAGAGATAAGAGTGGAATCTTAAAAAACAAACAGAAAAAGTCCAGCTCCTAGAAACAAAGAGTGGGACGGTGGTCACCAGGGACTGGGGAAAGCTGGTAGTCCAAGGGTACCAACATTCGGTTGTAAGATGAATATGTTCTAGGAATCCAATGTACAGCATAGTACCTGTAGTTAATCATTCTGTATTGTGTACCTGAAATGTGCCAAGAGAGATCTTAAACATCCTTACGAGAAAAAAAAAAAAAATGCCACAAAAAACAAAGCAGCTCTATGAGGTGATGGACAGGGAAATTAACTTGAGTGTGGAAATCCTTCCACAATGTGTATGTGTATTGGATTGGATCATCATGGTGTACATTTGAAATATATCACAATTTTATTTGTCAATCATACCTCAATAAAGCTGGGGGGAAGAAATTAATGCATAGTTTTAATTAAAACATAAATTTTGTTAAATATAAGATTAAGTAAATTTATACTTTGGAGTTTTTTCCAAGGCACCTTTCTCAACAAAACTTTTATTTTCCACTTAAAAAATAATTACAGCCCCTATGGCTGCCTTGAAACCCAGACAGCCAGCCAGTGCTCTGGGGATCCTGGTCACACAGAAGTGCCCCCAGGAACACAGCCACCTTCCCCCCTGGAGGGACCCCTGCTGGACCAAGCACCACCTGAGGGATTGATGGCAAAAGCCCCTTTTGTAACAAATCAGTAAAATCAGGGTCGAGGTGACTGGCTCTGTCCCCTCCTGGCAGAGGTCGGCCTCAGGTCCACCTGCTTCTGGTTCTCTGGGAGCAGGGGGCGCTGGGCGGCTTCCTCATGTCCCGCACTGAAATAACCCTTTGCAGGACGATTCAGCATCATGCACCCATTACATGTACAGACTCTAAAGCCCAACAGCCAGGTGCAAACTCCAGCTCACCATTCACTGGTGTAACTGGCTAAGTCACCGGTCCTCTCTATGCCCCCACTTCCTCATCTGTAAAGTGAGATGTGAATGAGATGTGTGGTGAGAATTTAATGAATTAACATTTGTAAGGTGGGATAAACAGTACCCCAGCACCTAAGAAGCATGACATAAGTGTTTGTTAAGTAAACCCTATTATTTTAGCCTCTGTAACCTCGAAAGAGCAGGACTGACTTCAGAGAAAATGAGAAGTATGGGAGGTTGTCCTTGATATCTTCCTTGTCCAAACCGAAGGCCCCTATATCGGACAGGGCCCTGGTCCATCCTGTGCTGTGAAAGCTCCAGCCCCCTCTCAGCTCTTGCCTGCCCTGCATCTCATCATAGAATCTGAATGCTCATGGCAAAGGGGAGCTGAGCTGTTAATGACTGAGCTATGATAAAACAGGGATGAGGCTGGCTGACCACACCCCGGGGGAGAGGCTCCTTGGGACCACCTATAGGAGAAATTACCAACTTGTCTGCAGGCACATGCTCTCACATCTCTCCTGGAATGGGGACAGAGGTTGCCAATGCTCCTAGCAGGGCCTGGGGGGCCGAGGGCAATGGGAAGACCGGCTCTCCCTGTACACCAACAGAACCATGGGCACAGGAATACAGGGCACGCCCTCTCCGGTTTCCCCAGACAAGAGTAAGTTCTCTGCACTTGCTTTGGATCCTGCCAGTGAGCTTACTGCTCTTAGAGGAGAATGTGTCTTCATTACGGAGTCTGAGTTACCGCAGGCAACCTAATCGATGCCTCCCTAATTAACCTAACTGAAGGGAAAGTCACAGATGCAGACAAAAATGCGATTCGTCTGTGGTCTGCATAGCGAGAAAGATAGGGCCCAGAAGGAGACAGGGAGGTAATGATTAGAATAACTGACTAGACGATCGCATTTGGAAGGGGAGGACAACAAAATAGTGTGGTGCCTACTAGAGTTTCCAGCTGGATCATCTACATTAATCACATTTGCTGGGTAGTTGCTGAAAAAATATGTCCCCCCACAAATATTTGTATTCTCCCAACCAAATGATCAGCAGGAAAAGCATCTGGCTGTCTTGATAACACCAAAATAAAATATGCCCCCAGGAGAAATAACAAACTAGTCCTTTCCTCAGAGAAACACCCCCAACTCCAAACCCTGGCTCCACTGAAGGACCAGCAGATTCAACACGGTGGAAACTCAGTCTTTTGTTTCGCACATTTATTAGGTCAAATGCCCACATGCTGAGGCATGCATTTCCAAACACCAAATCCGTGTTTTACATTATTCCGTGGCCTTTCTAACACATGGTATGCTGCTTCTTTTCTCTTCGCGGTTTCATCCTGCTCCTTGTGTCTCGGGATCCTCCCCACGGCACTGCCCACAGCAGACGCTGAGCCCGGGGGCTGGTTAAGATCTGTGGAGTCGTTTGTCCCTTCCAGAAAGCGGCTCGAGACCACCGGTGTTTTTAATTCTGCTGTCTCCAGCTTCTACTCTCAGTAGGGACGTCACATCCTTTAGAGCCATCCGTGTGACTTGCGGCTTCTCATCTATTTCATCTACGTGAGCAGCTTAATTATACTTAAAGTCCTGCACTGACTGTGTGAGTTTCATTTTGTTTTGTTTCTACAGGCACCTCCCATTCTTGGCTTCAGAACAATTCCCTAT